TTTAGAATTAATCATATTATTTCGCATTTTCGTAGAATAATATACCTATTACAAATGAATATAAAGTATCTTAATTTTATATACTATATTCCAATCGTGCGTGATAAGTTATTCGGTCGTCTATTGTTAGATAATTTAAATATCAAGTCTTATTATTAGTTAATTGATAATCGATATCTGAATTCATAGCGAATAAAGAAAAACATTAATTGCAATTTATAAGAAAAAACATTAATCTTTAAATTCGTATGACGTCTTATGTACGATAGTACATATCGAAGAAAGGGGCTGCGTATAACCACCCCTTTCAGTCTGAAATAAGCGCCGCCCTCCAGTCAAAGAGGAAATCCCCTCTATACTTGGAATATGGTGGAGGTACTGGAGCCCTCCGATGGAGGATACCCGCGATTAAGTTGTGAACTACCGTAGACTATTGTGTTTCGTTGTCCAACTAGAAAACCAGGACTACGACCGATCTACGTCCTCATTTTCGCGACAAACAATTAAAGAGAGATTTACTACGAACTTTATATAAATTACCATCTCGAAGTATCGTCAATATTCCGTCATCGGAATATCTTGTTGCGAATTTGTGACGAACGAATTTTAATAATCCATTGTTTAATTGGAATATTTTCGTGGAAAAAAATTATGAAGTGCTATGTAAAATGTAAAGATCCATGCGATATCTGAACAAATTATATGCAAAGTGATATTTATTTCATAGATTAAATATCTTAAGTTAATTCAATTTTTCGCGACATTCATTACATAGCGATGAAGTGTCGTCTTATAAAGTCTAGTCTTATATCTCAGACAATTTTTCGAGAGTGATACAAGTTTATTAAAATATTTCCGTCGCCATGGAATTTTCGTGGGCACTTCAGCATCAATCTAACGATCAAAATGGACGAAATCATCCAAACGATCATCATGAAGATGCTAATATTATCAATCAAGTTAACGCTCGTCGTTTACTCAACGTAGCAGGTAATCGAATATTAATGCAAAATTTATGCAATAGAGTGCTTTTTTCTATTTTAGGATTGTAGTTGTAATCACAATATTTTATTTTTAGCAAAAAAATTATATAATGGCTAGTATTAAAATTAGATATAAAGATTAAAAGCCAATAGAACAAGTTTAACAATCTTAAGATGTCAAGGTATACATTTTGTGGTTGCTCATTTTATTAGACTTTATCTTTTAATTTAGATTTAATTTTTATTTCTAAACGAAAGTAAAATTCGACTATTACACTGTTGATTATGTTAATTTTACGAAATCATAGAATACAAAACAATAAAGTCACAAAGTTATAATCGTAAAATTTATGGTCGTATTACAAAATAATAGATAATATTTTTGAAAAAAACGAAAAAATACGGATTTATTTTTAATAGGAGAAAATAGTTCCTAAGATATGTTTGAAGTAAAATGCTAATCGGTGTTTTTCCTTACATCTCAGAAATTGATTTTGTCGTATTCATTCGAAGCAGACATTTGTCGTAGAATACTCTGGAAAATAAGGAATATAAAGAGATAATTTTTTTTATTTTGGAATTGAAATTATAACGTTATGGTTATTAAATTTAAAATAATGAAAAAAGTCGACGCAACGTAGTTGTCAATCCGGTTTTTTTTATTTTTGAGATTTGATTTTAAAACGTTTTAATAAATATCCCGTAATCATTTCCTAATTCAAATAAGTTAAGAAGCGCAATCGAGACTAGATACTGATGTTAGTTGATTCTAAATATTTTATTATTAATTTTTGAAATTATATTATTGTTTCCAACGCGCGCATGGCTTGATCGATTAATTCTATAATAAATAAGAAAAAATTCCTTTTTTCTTTCAAATAAAATTTTTTAGTAGAGGAAGGAGAATTCTGTGATATACTATACGCAATCCTAACTTCATTAATTACGTTGGTTTGTTTATGTCATTCTTGCTGATTAAAACAAAACTATTATTTTATCTAATTTTTATGTAATAAACATAATTATGTCAAAGTTGTCAAAGGTATGCATAACAGATATCGATATATTCGTGATCATGAACAGTAGTTTAACACCTGTCCACAACTTGTTCGGACCCCTCGAAAACCTCTTAATGGCCGTGAAAAAGAATGCTGCACCCTGCTAATCATTTAGACCTCAGGTGGGACTCCATCGGATTTGCACTGTGCTTACGATGCGGCAGCTGCATGAACCCTACGATTAACAGGGGTGAAATCGACAACTGGGTTTCGATTAACTTCCTCTGTTTAAACGTTTACGATACGATCGGTACACGTGTCGCAAGAATAATATGATAGTGGTGCATGGATGCGTTAGTATTACTTTCTATCGCCGTGTGGATTACAACAGTTATAAACATTTCTATATTCTTCTATATTTTATTGCGAAGGATGAAAGCCGGCCAATTTTCATAGACAAGTCGCTGTCCACGATGCATTTCTATTTGCTTTGCCGGAGAAAGTGGTCGTCAGGCATAGAGGTCGAAAGCCTACATACGTCTTTATACATAAGTCTTTTTACATCATTCGAGACTTGATTGGAATAGGCGCAATTATTACACAAATTGTTTTATCCGGGATTGGAGACTTTGCTTCAACTGAAATTAACATTCCTACACATTGCGCGACTAGAAAAGATGTATATAATTATGTTCAGTGAAAGTAACATTTCTTTATGTTATCACGAACTGCAATTAATTCTGATTTACTGTGAATAAAATAAGTATTTTGCTATGTTCCATTTTTTTAAAATAATGTTTTATTCACGTGTACTAACAAATCGCTAATATACATATATATATATATATATATAATATATTTTAATAGAAAAAAAAATATTCATGTCTTAAAAAATTAAAAATTTATGGAGAGAATTTTTTTTTAGAGTTTGCTCTGAAAATACGGTCGTGGGACAACATTGTATTTCGAAGAATTTTATGTACTAATTTTCTCTCATTCACTAATAAAACTACAATAAATCATAAAATATGTTTGATTAATTTTACTGAAGTGCATGTTAAAAATCTTTAAAATTTCGTATTGTACCACAACTATCATATTTCCAGGGTAAATTCTAAGAGAAAATTCTTTACATTTTTTTACAAAATAATACTAACTCTAATTTCTCTAATAATAATAATTTCGCTAATTTATAACTACGCATATTTGGTGCATATTGGTGTAATGATATTCAGATTTAAACGGCCAACCATGCTCAGGGAGGCGGTGTTTGGTCGATACCTCGATAAAGGGTTGGCTGGCAACGACTCATCTACCCTCGTAACTTACCCCTCCAACTCTTTCCGTAAACGCTAGGCGCCATGCACATCCTAGACTTCATTTGCCTGATTATTTAAAAATGGTAGCTTTTATTGCGGCCAATAGCAAAGAAAGATACTTATTGTTAAAAATGAGTAAAAGCTATAAAATTTTAAGCCAGCTTTTGAAATAATTCGACCTATTAAAAGCATTATCGAAGAGAATGCTGTTATTCCGGTTATTTTCATTAATTTTCGTGATATTGATATGTAATATAATTATTTCTGTTTATTAATTCGTTATTTACCAAAAATCAAAAACTTGTTGCCCTATGAGATCACTGAAAATCAGAAAATCCAGAATTAGCATCTTTATGTGAAAAAAATTTGAAGCATTGTGTTTCTTCAACCTGATCGACTGGTATACGTTGATTTAAATAATTAAGTTGTTTTGCCGTATATATTTATTTATCATTTTTCCATAGGCGTATAATATTATTATGTCTAGTATAATATTATAATGGTACATTTTTAATATTTTAAGAATATGCTATTTTTAAAATATTAAATAATATTATGCGCCTACAAGGTTATTACTTAAATTTGTCACTTTTATAATATTTTTTAAACTTTCTTCATATAATAGTTTTGTTTTTACAAAATTGTTTTATAATATAAAATAAACTATTGCTACTGTTATATTACGACTACTATTTTTATACAATTTCGATAAAATGTAACAATTCGAAATAAGAATGATTCTCCAGCTTTATATTGCGTAACATTAACTATTGATGAATAACGCGACGATAAATAATTGTTCTAATACTGGAAAACTTTCGACGAGACGACGCGACGCAATGTTACATCTCGTTATTCACTTGAAAAGTGTCCTTACTCTCGGCTCCCAACGTTCGGCTTAAACGTTTATGAATGTTTGACCGGAAGTAACGTATTACAACGCTTTGCTTGTAGTCTTAAGCGCTTAAGTATATACATGCTTGCGTTTCTACATTTCAAAACAGGATCGAGAGTAATCAATGTTGATTAGGGAGACCAGTGATTGCTTTAGAATTTTTAGATTTTGCCAAGTAGTTGGTAAATTTTTTCTTTAGTCTCGCGCAATTTTCATCGTGAGAAAATTGCAAATCTGATCGTTTCCTATAACTTTGGTGTTTAAAAACAGACGTTTCCGTCGGACGATATACGTGGAATTTAGGAACTGTTGTAAAAAAATTCAGTTGTTCGCGCTACTGTTTTCCCTCGCCCGTCGACGCTTTGTTCATTCAACTGTGTCGTCTTCTAGTCGCAATCATCCGTGAAATTTGTTCGTGTCCATTCAATAAATCAACTTTCTCCCTCACTAAAAACTATCAGGGACGGTAACTTACAATATGCCTTACTTGAAATCTCTTTCCCATGTAGATGCATCTCTCACATGAACTCTTGCAACTTATGATGCAACAAATGACGACGACAATCGTTTACGTGTGTATGTTTGAAATAGGCGCATAACAAAAATTTTGTGAGATTTATAATTATATTTTATGTTAAACACAGTACTGCAGAATGAATATATATTATCGAAATTCGAAATGGATGTGCTTTCATATCGACTACAAAATTTACAGTTAGAAAATAGAAATCATAATATTACATGTACTTATAACAAAAACAATTTCTTGTTGTCTTAATGCAAAATTTTTAATCCCCTTTTTCAGGACGTGGCGATTTCGTCGGGGGGATAGACAACGAAGCCTTGGATTTTTCTCAGTTGGAGGACTTCATCAACAGTGACAGCGAACAACCTGCGACGTGAGTTCGAAGAGTATTAACTTTCCACGTTTACATGATCGTCATTATTTCCATTTTCATCTTGAGCTGACTGGAAAAAAAAAAGAAAATCTACCGATTAAACAAGAAACTTGATCTCGGACGTTGAAGCGTTCAGTCTGATGACGAAGTTTTAACCACATTTGGAAGCCATGGTTAACGCCTACAATGCGCGTGTTCGTCACACGTCCGTAATGCGTGTCGCCAGCGCAATGATCGCAAAACTCGAATTGTTGTTTCTCAGAATGCTAAATGCCAATTTACATTAATAGATCTATCAAAGTTGCATTAATGAATCTTCTCGACCAAATACGACGAAACATTCCTCCTCATCCATATGTTACATAAATATCAATATGTCGCATCAAAATCTAGGAACGCTTTTTTTTTTCACTTTTTTGATTCATCAACAAATTTGAAGATAATTCTGCAAATTGAAATTATCGATTTACAAAATATTCCAAAAATATATATGTGTAATGCGAACTGCAAAATTTTGCAGACATGACGTTTTCGACGCTCATATTGGCGCCTTCTCAAATTATGATAATTAACGAATTCAGATAATACGCTTCTGCCGTCCAACAGCACGAGCACGCGTTTCCTGCGAACGACATGATGTATCAGGCTAAATTTCTAAATTGCTCCATCTAGACACTATGCTCCATCTAGATACTATGTACTTTGTCACCGCATCATGGCGATTATTATAGAAATTGTTACTATTGACAATATTTAAATTTTATTAATTCAAATTGCCTTCTGTGACATATTTTAGTAATTTTCCTCGCATATTTACAGCAGTGCATATGAAACGAGCAATTATAAAAAGAAGATATATATTTTTCCTATCTCATTGCCAGTATAAATAGTACGCGTGAAATTATTTGTATAAAATTTTTTAGATATTCTGCGTTATAGTAAAACAAATGAGAAGAGCCTAACAAAAGTTTGAGATACAGTTATTGCATATATTATTATTATTATTTATTATGTATATATATATAGTATACACAAATAGTAAGGCACCAGCAATACTGCTGCTACTACGCCCACTAGTAAACTATTCAATTAAAGAAATACAGAGGTACAGAAATACATAATTGATTACCGCACAACATACAATATTTATATAATTAATGCAAAAAAAAAAAAAAAATAATTTCTAATGTGTAAATATGTGAACAGTACATGGAGAAATACAGAGTGCAAAATACAGCGAAATTTACAAGAGAAATAATACGAGAGAAATAATAGTCTTACAAAGTCGATATGAATTTTGCAGCGGCTGAACGAAACGAATGAAGCGAGGGGGATGAACGGATAAAAGAGGGTAACACATTATAGAATTTAGTGGCAGTATAAGAAAAAGCAGCCTTAAATTTGGATGTACGATGCCTGGGAAAGGACAAGGAATCATGACAACGAGTGACAGTGATATAAATTCTCATGTAAAAATTAAACGTTTGACAAATTATACTCAATTGAAGAGTAAGAAATTTTTTAAGACTATAAGAAAGCTAATACTGCAGCGTTGTATATAAATTACGAAAAGTACAGATCATATAATTTTAATTAAAAAAAAATTAAAATAAAAAAATGTAAAATTAAGTATGTAATAAAACGTATATTGTTAATCAGTGAACGTTGGTGCAACATGCGTTGACCTTGATAATTGACGCATAGACATATCGACATGTATGAATTTAGGATTTCATATTGTCTCAAAAATTGTTTCTTAGAACAGTCCTTTTGGCTTTATGTATAATAACATTTTAAATCAGCGATTTTAATATTTTTATACTGATGATGTCTATGGCTATTTTATTTGCAATCAGATCAAGAATTTCAGAATAATCAATTTATTTGGTAATAAATAGTTGCATGATTAAATCAATTATTAATTACAGTATATAATTGTGTATATACACATATATACATATATATATAAAATATGTTTATGTATAAGCGTAATAGGTATCTCTATAAAATATCGTTTTATATTATTGTATTGTTGTCATTGTAAATTCTCAAGTGGAGAATAAGAAGTTTAAATCGTTGGTGCTTTAAATAAATAATAATAACGCGCGAGTTGATATGGCTGGCTCTCAACCTCCTATTTAGCTTCGGGCACGAAAACATCTTATTCCAGACCTGATCGCGCATATTGACGTAATCGCGTACACCAGGAAACGCATCCAGCCATTCTTTATACGCACACAGTCGTACGTACGCGTATGTATACTCAGTCCGCAGACAGATATTCAGGCAGATAACAACCGCAGAGGTGTAATGATATAATGACAGAGGCAGACGGAACGGAATTGATGGAATCACAGCGTGCACACTGCGTTAACCCTGCTAATTCGACTTCCAGCACTCGTCTTCCATTAAAAGACTCTCGGGATCATCGCACAACGACCGGATTAACCGAGAAAAAAAAAGATAAAATTTTATTCTTATCCAAGCGACTCGTATACTATTTATTCAACAATAGTAAATCCTAATTTGTTAGTTCGGTACTTTAAAATATTAAACACTTTTTATGTTCATGTATTTTTTTTTTTATTTTTTCATCTTCTAGGAACAGGTCTACTTTATCTTAGATTTTTTAATTACTTAATTATTAATTTCCGCATGCCTTTCTCTTTCTCTTTGTTATTTATTACTCTTGTGTTTCTGTATGTATTTCGAAGTGTACACGTGTATGCATCGTGATCAATACGCAATAGATACGTTATTAAAAAAAAAAACATTAGATAAGCGAAGAAAATTCATAGTAGCGATTCAAACGCGAAACGATTTTATACGGAATTGTCGTTTAGAAAAAGGGATACGCCATGTAGAAATATATATTCATTTTTCGATTCTATAGTTGCATTCATTATGAAATAATATGAAATAACGCGCGAGATATCACGATAAAAACCATATGTAACAAGAGATAATAAATAGACAATGAGATAGGCATAATTTATATTTAAAGAATCAGAAATTTCCATTCGATTGACGATATAATTACAACAGCTTATGCAATAAGTTATAGGAACAGGTATTTTACATGATTTTTTTTAACGTGATTGATAGAGATTGCGGATTGTTATCGAACGTTCCTGGTTACCGTATTTTAATCAAGAATTCGTGGAAAATTCATAGACGATTGTCGCCGCGAATCTTTCTTCGATAAAAACTGCATAATAGAATCCCATACCATGTAATTAAACTCTCACGAAAACTCAGCGAGTTGAGAAAATTCAATGCGAGATGCAGCGCGAAGCATCATTTACCGCTGTACACTACCGAACTGTGATTCAGGCGATAACGATATCTCGTGTTTTGCAAATTCAACGTGCAGTCGCGGTCTCGGCATGCATAGCTCTTGAAAGATCAATAAAAAAGATGTTGACGTAGCACACGTACCGACTTCTATCAAAATGTTTTCTGCATCTTTATACACATATCAGGTATCTCTAAATAGTCTAAATATATAGCAAATAGTACGACTCTAGAAGTAACGAAACAAAAAAAAAAGGTAGAATAAGGGCTAGGCTGGATGAAAAATTTGTTCTATGTTTAGATATTTCGCGGACACCCTTGCCCACAACGAAAATGGAGGTGGAACGGTACCCCACGGTGGCCGAATCGACGCACCCACGTCGCAGCCGGTCGCCCAACAGCAACCACCGCGACTACCTTCGCCGCAGATGACGCAGGCTCATCCAGTTTCGATAGCGTGTGCTTCCGGTACCACGACGGTACCCAACAGCGGCTACAAAGATCCGCAGGCGTATGTTCACCCGTAAGTCGAACTCCGAAAAATAAAACAACTATAGTTTCGTCACGTTTATGGGAGCTAAATTAATATCTACGTTTATTTACGAAAATCAACATAAACTCTATCTTATTTCCGTATATATCAGCCATGAAATGAGGAATAAAATTCGATGAAATTACACCGGTTCCACAATTCTATTGTAGTTTTTAAATAATAAAGATTTTAGATTACACACTGGATTAAAACGTGACTTCTGTAGAGTTTTTCTGTATAGAAAAACGACATATCTCTTGTAGCGATTTAATGATTCGATGAAAATCTGGAACATCGCTTTCCAGACACGCGCTACCGGAAAGTCCACCGGATAGCGGAAGTGAGCCACCGTACTCACCGCCGGGACATAATGACACTCAACACGTACATTCGCCACGTGAGTTTAAATACGCTTGCATAAGAACATTTTACGAGACAATTATAAAAAATCTACAGTTGCCTATAATTATAGATCAAAAAGCAGCTCTGCAAGAGATACTTTTGCATCATCAGAATAATCAGTATCCTCCTAATTTGCTACCACCTTCTCCGAGAACATTGCCTGCGACGACAACGGATCCTCTATTGTTAACACCGGTTCTGACATCCCATCTTACATCGGGAACGTCGAATCTTCCTACGCAAGCCCAGATAGGACCTTCTTTGGTGCCTTTATCGCATGAACATAGTCCGACTGGCATTAACACGTTATACTCCTCTTTGCAATCGGCTCCAAAGAAGAGGAAACTCAGTCAAGATGGCCTTATCCACGTCAAACAGGTGTTCTTGCATTTTATTCGTAATTTTGTTTCTTTTTTTTTAAATTTGGATTATTAGTTGCAATTGTTATTTTTCAGGAACCCGAACTGGGTACTGTAGAACACAGTTGCAGTAGCAGTAGCGCAGTGCTGGACAGCGACGAAGTCGCTGATAGCAATTACATCGATGCAAGTTATCAATGTATTCGGTTCCATCCTTTCCAGCAAACATCTTGGCACGTTCTTTGCGATCATAATCTCAAAGAGTTGCCGGTACCACATTATAGAGTGGATGCCGATAAAGGATTTAATTTTAGCAATTCGGACGATGCTTTTGTTTGTCAGAAGAAGAATCATTTTCAGGTATTACAGAATTAAAAACATAATTTTTCTGAATCCAAATATATCAATATATGTGTGTGTTGTCAAAATTATATATAAAATTTTATTTTTAAGTAACAATCTTTGCAATTGTTATATTTTTAGATAACATGCCACGCGCAACTTCAAGGGGAGGCCGTATTTGTAAGGACTGGCGAAGGTCTAAAAAAGATAAGCGGTTTTCAACTACATTTCTACGGAGTTAAAGTGGAATCTCCGTCGCAAACGATTAGAGTCGAACAAAGTCAAAGTGATAGAAGCAAGAAACCATTCCATCCTGTAACGTGAGTTTATATATCGATAATATGTATAAATCAATAATATAATTAAATACAGTTGGATTATGCTGTAGATTGCATTACAGAGTCGAATTAGGCGGCGAACGTGTTACAAAAGTGACGGTTGGTCGCTTGCACTTTAGCGAAACTACGAGCAATAATATGCGTAAGAAGGGAAAACCAAATCCGGATCAGAGGTATTTCCATTTGGTTGTTGGATTACATGCTCATACTGCAGACCAAGCCAGTTATCAAGTAGTGGCTCACGCATCGGAACGTATAATTGTCAGAGTATGTAAAATCAATAGTGGAATTGTTCCATATAGGACCGAAATTAATTGTAATAATTAATTGTACGTTGCATCATAGGCGAGTAACCCAGGACAATTTGAATCAGAAGGCACTGGTGTGGGTGCTGAAGGTGGGTGGCAGAGAGGAGCAGCTCCGGATAGTGTATATCATGCTGGCAGAGTTGGAATTAATACGGATAGACCGGACGAAGCTCTTGTTGTACATGGCAACATGAAAGTACGCCACTTTCTTATTTACGCATAATTATATATTTAATGTCACTCTGATAGTTAAATTAGATATAATATTAAATAATTTAATTGCGTAATAATACATCGTTAAATGTGTCACATAGGTAACCGGTCATATCGTTCAACCTAGCGACGTAAGAGCGAAACAGAGCGTTCAAGAAGTGGATACGCGCGAACAATTACGGAACGTACAACAATTACGCGTTGTTCGTTATCGATACGCTCCAGAATTCGCACAACATTCGGGTCTGGATATTAAACAGGAAGATACCGGTGTCATAGCGCAAGAGGTTCAGCAAATTCTACCGGAAGCGGTGTTGCCGGCAGGTGATATAGTTCTGCCAAATGGTCAGAGAATTGAAAATTTCTTAGTAGTAAATAAGGAGAGAATATTTATGGAGAATGTTGGTGCCGTCAAGGAATTATGCAAGGTGAAAATCGTTTGTCAGTCCCTCATACAGCGTTATATAAAATATTTAATTTTTTATCTAATTATATAACCGATTTATTACAGGTGACGGACAGTTTAGAAACGAGAATAGATCAATTAGAAAGAATAAATAAACGATTAGCGAAATTGAAAAGAGGTGATAGTCTAAAGAGTTCTATCAGCACAGTATCTAGTATATCAGGCAATAAATATTCATCATCTATCAATAATAAATCATCTTTGCACGGAAAGACAAAAAGGCTCGAAAGGGAAGAAGAACTTCTCTGCAGTAATAAATTTATTCAAATTATTATTGTTATACTTATTCTCATCATGGCATTTTGGTAATTATTTCTCTAGCTTTAATTCCATTTTAATCTGATTTCGTTTTTTTTTTCAAACATTTAATTAATTGACACTATTATTTTCAGTCTTGTTGCAATGGCAACATTATATTTCTTAGAATATCAAAAACGTAGTACCGTTGAATGGTCTGCCATGGCAAGCAATGGAATGTTGGCTATTGGCCCGGCTCATCCACCGATAATATCTACCACTTCCAATTATGATCATCGATATAATTCGTTATTACATAGCACATTATCCCCCTTCTATACTAAGCAAGGATCATATACAAGGGAATTAGATGGAGGATTATCTGTCAAAAGTAATTCTCTTACCACACCTCCTCCGCACACAAAACAACAATTATACTCTCAGGAAATAACATGGTATCCGATGAGCCATCCGGGTCCCCAACCTAAACATGAAAAAAATAAGTCAGTAAAATATTAATTTTTTAAATGATGTTATTACGAAAGAAAACATTTTGTTATACACAGATTTATTAAAAATATTATATTAATAATATATTTTAGCGAATTCCCGGGAAATTGGCTTAGTAGAAATGGTGCAGGTGCTGTTCCAAGCAATGTGGACGAAAACGATCAAGGCTCAGATATAGATTCTTCATCTATTAATCTGTTAAAAGGTCTAATTCCTTTAGGAAGACCTGAAGAGTGTCCCGCACATTTTACTGAACTCGAAAGTCCATGTCAGGTATTGGAGAACTTATCGATACTATTCACTTAAATGTTACTGATGTGTATATATCTGTATGTACATATTTATAGATGCACACAATACATCTATAATATTTATTAAATAAAATATAAACACAATGTTTATATTTCAGATATATTGTTGCACAGCTGAGATTCATCAGTTAGAAGATCCCCAGCCTGATCATCCGCCAGAGAAAAAGTCCATTTGTAAGTCTCATATCATGCTTTGTTAAATTCATTAAAGTATAATGCGGATGAATCATTTATGTTTTATACAATTCAAAATGTAGTATTATATAAACTTTATTTTATTATTTTTTTTTTAGCAGATCACTTGGAACAGCCATTAAGTATGCCACACGAAGAGAAACGAAAATTAAGTAAGGGTTTCCAAAATGGTATTAGTCCATCCGATCCTAGTACTCAAACTCTTGTGAAAGAGGTACAGATTCTTTTCTTAAATCATTATTACATTAGATAGATCATAACAAAAAAAGATAAATTAAACATATTTGCGTACCTTATAGACAAATTATAAGTATTTACATAAACGAACAAGACGAGAAACTGGTGGTGGAGATTGGGGAGAAGTCGCTAGCAACGCCGCAGGATCATTACCACCAGAACCTAGACCACAATTATTCGTAGTAGCAAAAAATTTTAACACGTCTTTGGATCAAAGATATTGCTCTCCATCGTCACCAGATACACCCAACAATATTAGTTGCATTGTACCTTTATCGAAACATATGCCAGATACGCATTTAACATTACATTTTGTGTAAGTCATGCATATGTGTATACTTTATGTGTATTCAATTTTGATAGTATATTAATCGTTTTTTTTTTATAGCGGTATGCCGTGGTATTGGCAAATCGTGCAGCAGTGTCCCTTTTCACCAAACTCTGGTATAGACGAAACAATGGTGTGTGGTTGGAGCTATACTATGCAGCAACAATCTCAGTATATCGAAAGTAACAATCAATCGGGTGATCAATCTTTTCCTCTTGATGTCGCTCATTACCTTAGAAAAACTTTAAAGTTTCGAATACCTACGATGCAACCTCAGGAGGTAATTATTTCATTGTGAAGTTTAATAATTTAAGATATATATTTTACAAAATATTTACAATAGTAAATATTTTGTAAAATGTAGTAGAGTGAAGACGTTAATATGTTTGAAATTCTTAATGCATTTAACATCGAGGAACATAGTCTAATTATCATATTATTTTATTACAGAATATTTGCAAGAGTAAACATGATGTCGACTATTTGGAATTTACATTGCATTTTTATCGAGACTGCGAAGAACAATGAATATTCTCTCCTTGTACAGCACACTCTGTAAGAAACTTACACGTTTTTAGTTGTCTAACAAAAGTTAGATTTCTCCATTCTATATGAAGCCTTTGTGCCTTTGTAACTTGTCCTCTGCTTTTGATAGTTTACTCTTGTATTTTATATATCATATTATATTGCAGTACATAGTATATTATTTACTAATAAATTAAACATAAAGTATACATAATTTTCAATTATAGTTAACGTAACACATATCATTGCGCAGGAAATTTCTCTAGATAATGTATGAACAAAACATACATACATACATGCATACACACACACACATATATATATAGTATGTATGTGCGCGACACACACATATACATACTTATAATTATCTATTATTATTCACTTGTAAGATTCAAGTCTAATTAATTATTAACGAATCAATTGCAAAATATTAAATAGATATATAAAATATGAGATGAAAAAATATGTGCTATAATGTACTACAAAATGTATATATGTACTAGTGTAAATCAGTTTTATAATTTTATACCCATCAACGTGCTACATCTTCTAATTTATTAATGGTTTTCTATATGAAACTTATACTCAAGATCTAATTGTAAACATATATTTCTACACTTAGCATATATCTTTTACGTAGTACACATTTTAATTTTTGATACTGATTTACAGATAACTCATTGTATAAAACGTAATATATGAAACTATTAATTGCTAACGATGTTTTAGATTTAGATACTTGTGGAGTTAAATAAGCTTATTATCAAAATATTATGTCACATGAAAAGCATCATAGTGTTTAAATTGTAAATAGTCTATATATCTACTATATAATTAATTTTATTTCACAATTATGTACAAACAATATTGACTATTTAATGTTATAATATGTTATGTAATATTGTTATTCAAATAAGGAAACAATTTATCGTTGGTTTTAATAATAAGTTATTTTTAATTAGAGTCTCTTTTTCATAAGGATGACGAAAATCACCAAGGCAACTAAACGTTTTAATATTATAGTTTGCTATGCTATTTGTTTGTTAAATGAGTGTTTACTATAGAATTGTGCGAGTTCCTAAAAATATTGTACAGTAAATGTTTAATGATAGAGTAATTTACATGCACATATTTTGTCACACTTGTGCTGAAAATGATAGAAATACACGCATGAATTATAGTTTAGTAAAAGAAAAGTTATTAGGAAACATTTATTCCTGATTAATACGCGTGCTAATTTTAATTTTATATAGAATAAAATATCCAGATTTTAATTTTTGTCTAATAGCAATATAAAAACGTGTACTTTCATTATTAAAACGTGACTCGTACAATGTTGTCAAAAACATGAGCAATCTCTAAGCAATTTAAATATATATACATATAAACATCCTTGCCGTCCATTGTATTCTGTATGGCGAAAAACAGTTTATACAGAAACTTTATAATTTATCGATTGATTATCTGTACTATATACTCAGAGCTCAGTGCACAAACTTGTGATGTATCGTAGAGAAACTGAAATTTGGATAATTATTAGTATATATTGCTATCCATATATATATGTATGTATATATACATATATATATATAAAAATTGTATAAACTACACTTTATTGTACAGTAATATACATTTAATGATATTGATATATATAACAGAGTAATATAGTGTTGCTAAATGATATCTGCAAATTTTATTTATTATTTTTATGTTATTACAATACGTAAAAATCTTTCTCTTGAAATTTATTCTTTTAGATAATTGTCTTACAGGGTATATCATAACGTTTATACGTGATAAAAAAAGTAAATATTGTGGTAATGTGTAGAAAAGATTCTTATTATATGATATGAGAATCCTGTGTTTTCAATCTATACATAAATGCGTTGATATATTTTGAATTTTTCTTATGTCTAATATTTCTTTTATTGTTATTTGATGTCATTATTATGTGTTAATTTTGATGAAAATTGTTAACCTATTATAATTTTTTTATTTTAATGTGAAGCTACAATATAATATTATAAAGCATGGATATAGATGTATTATATAATTATATAGCAATAAGAAGTATCTCATACATTATAAGCAAAAATATTTTTAAGTCTTCACTTGCGCATTCTGCGAGTAATAAATTTATATTCATAATTACATTGTGATTTATTATTTTATTTGATATATTACTACACATGCATTATATATAGAGGATGTCCGGAAAATCGCCCGCAATACTTCGGGAAGTGATTTGGGACTCCGAAAAAAGAAAAAAAAAGCTGTAAACATAGGTCCGGAAATAAATCACTTCCGATTCCGATTTATAACCACTTTTATGTTAAAACACTATGAAATATAAATTATGATTGTGATTATGAAAAATAAATTACAATTTTTTAACATGGTTATAAAAGTGGTTATATAACTCGGAAACAACTTATTTCTGGACTTATGTTTATATAGTTTTTTTTCCTTCTTTTTAGGTCCCGAATCACTTCCCGAAGTATTGCGGGTAATTTTCTGGACACCCTGTATAAGATGTCCCATTTTTATTTACTACTTCCAAAAATTGTTTTATTTTTATTCTAGAAAAAAATATTTTAAACAAAAGTGGAATGGAATGAGAAGGATATATTTTGATCATTTTGTTTCTTTTTTATAGATCAAAAAGATAACTATTCCACTTTTGTCTAAAACATTTTTTTTCTAAAATCAAAAATAAAAGTTTTTGGGAGTAATAAATTAAAATGAGATACTCTGTACGTACACATATTCAGTATACATATACATATTTATATATACATATATAATATACTGAAATAAAACGATATAAAATTTTTTATAAATTACGATATGCAAAAATTATACATTTAAATGAAGAAGTTAAATTTAGAAAAGCAAAATTATTAAAATGTCCATGGCTCGGAAATTAAAAATTGAAACAACTTTTTAAATTTGTAGAAACGAAATATTTATGTATGTAACTATATTCAGTATAATTATATTATTTTGAATGGCATTTTATAAAATATATGTGTTGATAGCTTTATCTCTTCGTCTAGGCCCTAGATAATTACACAAGAGATACGAGCGAGAGATTTAGATGTTTTTCAATATTTAAAAAATTAGTTGTTATGGAAATATATTTCGGAAAAAATTATGAAATAAATTTCGATTTGGGTTACATTATTTTTTATCATAAATTTCTAATAATTGACGATTTAAAAAAAATGATATTGAAAGATATAGATTTTAACTTTTACAATCTTTTATCTAATTATCGTGTAAAAAGGGATAAATTAATTATAAATATGTAATAATTACAGATATTTTAAGGTGTTGTTCGAAATAAAATAATATTAAAAAATTGTATATATGTATACACATTTATATGTTTATATAATGTATCATTGTACAATAATATAAAAATAAGTTCAAAAGTAGGAATATTTATAAACGCATATTTATTCCAGCATCAGCAAAATACATATTCAATACATATTGTGTGCTGTTGAAACAATGAAAAGATCATATTTGAATGATTATGAATATATATTGTTGGATTTATATTCGGTAAAGTTTAATAAATATATTCTGCGAATACACGCGCGCGTGTGGTGCGTTATACAAAAATGCGCATACAATATTTCTTCTTACTGAAACAATCTACTGAATTCTTGAATCGAATATTGAAATATTCGATCCTTAAAAATGATCTACATATTACATATCTTCTAGAATATTTTATTCGTGCAATGGTGCTGGATAAATTTAATTATTTTCACGTATTTACACATATCAATATAAAACTTTTTTTACATTATTTAAGTTAAGTAATACACTATTCTAGAGAACTCTTTTATGGTCGATAATGATCGTAAAAGCGCGTTAAAAATCTACTTATACATACTTAAATCGTATCAAGGAGAAAATTACTTTCAAGCAAATTTTATAAACAAATAAGTCATAATACATATATAAATAGCGTATACACAATATATAAAATAAATATAGAGGAATCACAGATCGCACATATTTTACAGTCGTGAGTCTTTAAAAAGTATAATATATACAATTTATATTATAAAATCAAATATAATTTACAAATTCATACGTATTATGAACAAGACATGATAAATTAATATATCACAATTACATCAATTCTGTATTACATTGTTCTATATGTTCAAAATGAAAGATATAATTTTTTTTCACGTATCTGCACATAAAAATTGTTTTTTTAATAGATCTTGCATTTTGTAAATTAAATATATAATTATATTTGGCAATTTTTAAAAAATAAAAATATAAATAAGTAAATCAAATGAGAATAATTAATTCTGTATTACTACACACAGCGGAGAATTTTGAAATACTCTGTAAGAATATAGTTAAGATGTGTTAAAATAATGTCCCCTTTCTCTTTCTCTCTCAATTAAGATAACTAATATCTAATAAAATTCTTCGTATACATTGGTAATATACAATTATTTGGATATATGTTGTTACGTTTTATTAATTACACTTACAAATATATATATGTATATATATATATATTTGTGTGTGTATATATATATATATATATACACACGTAAATGCATATATGTATATACATATATTAAAACATGTAGCACATATATCTGGACATCAGTTTTACAAATATAAGTTACATAGTTCTTTATCAAGAACGATTATTATCAACCACTATGGTTCTTTTTTCAATTATATTACTAATATCAACTATTTCAGAGTCTAACTATTTTAAATAAACAATAAAAAAATTTATACATAGGCTTTTGTTACTTTATGCATAAACATTAACGCATCGTAACACTGACGTGAATTATATTATTCTTACTTGTTATTGCACCGCTGTAATATCTATTGCGAGATCATATGTATATTATTTTAAAAAAGTCAATTTAGTATTATTTTTCTCTTTTATATTCTTTTTGTTCATCTGATGATTCTTCACGAACGGCTAATACCATTCTTAACATAAGAATGGCGAGTAATTTATCTAGAGGGTCCATAAATCCTCGTTGTATCCATTTTGGTATCGTCGTACGTGCGTGGGAAAATCCTAATTTTTGAAGGATATAATCGATTCCATAAGGTTCTATACTTTTGCCAGCCCACGACAGCAGCCTTGACAAAATAAGAAATTTTACGTTATCTTAGATGGCTTCGAAAAAGCTAGATGCTTCCGAAACAACTTACCTTACTGTTGGTTCTAAATGCCATGTTTTACATCTGTATGATCGCCAGTCTTTTATAAACATTTCAGCTGGATCAAATTGTTTGCGTTTCTTCTCGTCCTCGGCAGTAACTGATACGCTAGATATGTTAACTGTACCTGTATTTATATTTTTTCTTTCTTGTGGATCGGGACTATGTGCTCTTGCACCCATATTCTGCATTGTATGCTATAATGTAGGAAATTTTATAAGAATAAGAATATTTTCTCTAAATAATAAGATTCAGATTTAAAATTGTTTCGAATGTACTTTCAATAAAGTTCTTACCACTCTTTCTTTTTCTTTCACATATGACGTAATAAGATCATGTAGGAAGAAAAAGGCTTCGGCATCAACAGTAACAAATATATGATCTTCAAATTCTGTTATAAAGCTGCATTCAACTAATGGTTTTTCGCCTGTAAATTAAAATAATAAAACAAAATAATAATAATATTTTAACAATGATTTTTAAGAATGAACATTTTTACATATACTACACTATCTTGAAGTTATTCTTATGAAATAATATATCGTAGTTTTATAATTAAGTTCCATTTAAATAATAAAACTAATTTCTCTCATGCTTACTTAAGCATTACTAATTATTTATATTAAATAAAATTATGAAAATTTTTAAATAAACTCTGTATACTCTTTATTATATCATCTTGACAGTGTTATACTTAATTATATTATTGAACATAATATTAATTAAAGCGTAATATTATAATTTTAAGATATTAAAAAAAACCATAAATTTTAATTTATTGTCACATTATGTGTGCGTGTGTTCATATGTGTGTGTGGTTTTTAAAAAATTTGAAAACTTACTAAACAAGATACAGATATAAGATATCGCTTAAGCATTTATTTAAACATGTAAAGCATACTAAAATAATCTACCGTTTTTTATCATTCCAAACGTAATAAACTTCATATACTTACTATATAAAATATGCTTAGGAAGTCCTAAAAATATACGAAAGAACCAATTGCAGAATAATTAGCACAGTGGAAGGACATACAATATTATGTTTTGTGCTTAGTGTGATTTAACATAAAAAAATTTGTACTGACAATACATTTTATTAATATAATTTCGTAACAAACAAAACCTCTATACGTATTAATACCGTTTAGAACGTGTTTGTTGCACATCATTATATTTAATTTATTTTCGTATCTTATTGAAAGTTTAATATAAAAACAGTGGTTATGCATTTATACAGTATTATTGATAAATGTAAAAAAAGCGATTAATATTACACAGATATATATTTAAACAATTAGACAGCAAAATAGCAATTATTTTCAATTTACGTACCTATGACGTCTGGTGTTCTAGCTGTTTGTAAATGTTCAGTTTTCAGATGAAGTTGCAATGAAGGCAAGGCAAATATCACTTCCCGTGTATGAGAATGTTCTTGCAATTTGCCAGACGTTGAGGACGTGCTCCTTCCACGTGATACATTACTACCGTCAGATGTACTATCCACTCTATCCCTCTCGACACACGGAAATCTATCTACCGCTATGCGATGAAAGAGAGAGGAGTTAGAAAAATATATAAAATTCTATAAAAACAAAAACTAATGAAATTACTTTTATATTTTATACATACCATCAATCTCACTACTAGCAAATGCATAATGAAACCATTCTTGCAGAGATTTAAATTGCGGTGGAAATAAAACACTTCGACTTAATCTACATACAGTTGCCATGGAATGATGTCTTGCATGTTGTTCCTGTTGGTGTCCTAAACTGATGGTTAACGTCTGTACGACGTGAACGTCATATGTGTTAGGTGCTGTGTGTAAACAAAATAAATTTATTACACTATTAATATAGAAATAACATGAAGATTATTTAATATTAATTACTTTCAACACTTGGAATTTCTTGGGCTTCTGTAGCGAAACTTATGCAGGGTTCTTTTAACGAGAATAAAGCCCAGCTTTTGCTTTTAAAATTAATTCCGTGGAAACATGCTAAGCTAATATTACAGCCATGAAGTTCCATTGTACCACCAAGGACGGTACCAGTTGACGGCAAAGAAAACCTTAAGCTTCCTAATTGAAGACCAGCTACTTGAGTTAATACTCTTTGCCAATGTCTATGATGTCTAGCATCTGATATAGCAGTTTGGTTCAAACTCCATGGACCACCTACAATAAATTTAATCAGCATCATAATTTTCATTATAATAACAGAGATAAATATTAACAGTTCGACTTTACCGTCAACAGCAGATTTCTTCTTTTGTTGCCTTTTCTTAATGCTACTGTTATTCATTCTTTGATGCTTTGTTTGTAAGGAACTAAATACACGTTTGCTGCTCTTAAATTGTTGACTGAAAAACTCATCCAATTTGTAAAACATTTTTAACAAATCGGCTGTTGTTGATTTACTGATCATGACTTGTAATTGATCCCAGCCCAAGTCACCGTGCATAAAAATAATAGCGGGCCTGTATGAACATATGTTTATATACGTATACATCGTTTTTTAATATTGAATTTCGACAAAATAAAATTGTATTTCCTTGTTTATTTCATTGAAGCAATGTATTTTATTTCATTAGGATTAAATTAAACATACCTTCGGGTTGGCATGAAAGCATCACCACTGTTACTACGATTAATTTTCCATTCATCTCTAAGAGTAACATCCAATGAAGACACACGAGACATTAGGACACTTGTTCCCATATAATCCAATCGTAATTCTAATGCAAATAATTTCAATCCTACTGTATGATCAGGTTCTATTCCAGGTTCTTCTCGAATATGTACTACGACAATGCGTAAAAATATAGATTAAATTCTCTATAACTTATCAATGTATAAAAATCTAATTATTTAAAAACTCACTGTAAGTATCAATTCTACTCAATTCAATTGTCCCACCAACTATACCACCTTTCGCATCTAAACTCGATCCTCCTAAGCCAATGCCTATATACAAATTTTTATGTCCCGTGCTGCCAATAGACAGTCTTCCATCCGATCTGAAATCCTTTGTCATCCAGCTAACATTACCCATTACATTGCCCATATTCATATGCACATTAAGGCGTGTAAAATTCACTGCAAATAACACCAATGTTTCCCATGCGGATTCTCTTAATTTGACTTCAGACGACATTTGTTTGTCTGTGGTAAAGCTCCATCCTCTTCCAATATCTAACATAAAAGTAATATTTAATATAAATTTTCAGTTACTCTTTTGATAATTGTGCGAAAGCAGATACCTTTTAATCGCGTAGGTCTTGGCATATCATTTTCCAAGGTTAATTTCAATTTTTCTCTATTTAATATAGGACTTCTTTCAGATGCACTTTTTGATAATGGATCATGCCTATCGTAATGTTTCAATAAAGAGCTTCCCATGACTGCTTCTTCCTGATTTAATGGAGGACTTCCATCCCCTTCGGAATATGCGGTACCTGAACTTAAATCTCCTAGAAATAACCGTCTCACTATGCTACGTCGATACCAAGCCTTTGGAAATGCCAGAATTTCTGTTAGTCGACGCATATCATATTTAAATGAGGCAGATCCAATATCAATAATGGCTGAAAATAAATATTAAATAACAAATTTATTAAAACAATTGTTAATATATATCTAAATAAATTTATACATTATGCTCGCAATATTTTGATTTGCATTATGTACATACTTGAAAATCGTATGACAGCACGACTAGTATCTGAAAGCTTCTTAAGCTGCTCGCTTTGAAAATTCAATTTTCTGCTTCTTGACAAATGAAATTTTACAAATTCGACGTTGATACTTAACGAATCTTTTCTCTCACTGTCTGATAAAGGCGACCATTGCGCTTCTTTTAAACCTGTTTTCTTTCCGCCACCATACGGATGAAAAATATAAACGGAAAAATCTGCTAAACAACCTGTGACAGATAATCCACCGATAGCTGTACCTATTTCTTTGCCCGTTGTTTGTGACTTCAACTCTCGAAACTCTATTAATTCTTCCTCAGCACGCTTTGATGAAAATACAATATCAAGCGATGGTAATTGTAGCATACATTCTACTCGTGAAACTGGTAAAGATGAGAATCTATATAAAAATATTAAAATTTATTAACAAATAAATTGGATTCTTTAAAACTTATGTAAAATGTAATGCCTAACATACCTGAATGTAGATGGCTGCATATGAAAATATACTATGACATCAACAGGGAAACTAGCATAAACATAATTGCTATTTGCAGCAGTGGCAGCCCACAATGTGTTTTCCGTATTTTCTAGCAGGAAGCCGGCATTTGTTTGCACATTACTCTGGAAATTATTCTTGCTCGGAATGGGTTCTAAAGTCTGTTCTAAAAATTCAAGGATATGAGGACTAATAATAGTTTCCTCAGGAATGCTTTGAAGAGTCATCCAAGCAAACAGACTGGCTTTTTTAGTACTAGATTTTCTAAACACTGTAATTGGATTTAATAGACTGTTCTCAGCAGATATGCGGGGAGATAATGATTCTTCTGGAAGAGTTTTGGATTCGTAATGAACCTGCAAAATAGCCTTTTCTTTTTATCATTGTTTAAAGTACGTATAATCATTGATAGATAAAATGTTTTTCAAATTTTACCTTAACATCCAAACCAGGAATATGAAAAATTGTTAAATCTACTAAAGGCACACTTGCATGCTGTAGATATTTCAATCGAGATGTACTAGTTGTTGACGGTTTCTCTTTACTATTTAAATGTTTTCTACTGCTACTGGGACTACCAGGTTGAAATTCAAATGTACCACCAGAACATGATCTTTCTTTCTTCATTCTACTTAAGCTATAATAGAGAAAAGATATTTGTTATATAAAAATTTAATTATATAAACTATTATATAAACTATTTCAGAAAAAGTACTAAATTAAAAAGTAAAATATGTAATAAATTATACAAACGTATCTCTTTTTTTAGGACAATTAGATTAATATAGAGAAATTAATTAGAATATATGCCTTTCAATATTCTTAAAAAATTGTTAAAGTTATTAAAGACAATATATATTATATATTATTTTATATTTACAGTTTAATTTCATCTTCTTTTCCTGGATCTTTTGTGTGTAACACACATTTTCCGCTATTAATTAAAACTTTAACATCAAGTTCAAAATCAATATTAGGCTCTTGAGTTTTCTGGGTAATAAATGGAGAGGATGTCGATGAAGCTTGCTCTTTTCCAAATGAATCTAGTAATGGTGCACTGCAAAGAGAAGTATAATATATATACTTGTACATATTTTTTACAAATATATATATATTTTATAATTATCTAAATTATTGAGAGAACACATACTTTCCCTCCATACTGTCATAACTCGATGTACAACTGATATCTCTATTCTTTTTTCTCAATTCAACTCGTTCTCCTTCGATCTCAATAGTCTCTGGCCATTCTAATTCTCCCTCTGGTAAACTCAAATCAGAACTAGCGCTAGGTAGAGATGATTGCCTGACAAAGATTACAAACAATTAATTTATATCTTTTTATTGCTAATATGTGTTTCAATTATACCTGCACATTGTATGTGTATCACTAAAAGTAACTCGTGGTCCGCTAAGTCCTCTTACTCGCAAAGAAGCTGACCTATATAACAAATTATAAAAAAAAAATAAACTGATTTAATTAAATATTAAATATTTAATATATACATATAAACTTCTAATTAAAAATTATTCTAAAAAAATTAAATTATAAAAATATTAAATAATTATTTAAAATTGAACACATAAATGCATACCGACTGGGACCGCTTCTAGGACTACTTTCGTAACTAGCTGAATTTGCTGAATTAATTTCCGTATTTATGTCTTCTGGACTTTCTAAATGATGTTCTGGTGTAGGAGAGGGTACAATAAATGATCTTGAACGATACGTATTCGGTTTGCTACCAAGACCTAATTTACCCTTAATACCAGAAGCTTTCACCGATTGTCTTCTTAGCTTTTGAATCATATCCCTAGAGAATATATTTTCATAAATCCAAATGTGTAAATTAAAGAAAAGAAGTCACTTCATCACATACCTTCTAAAATCTTTGAATACCATCGCTTCTAATTCATGCAGTCGTTTCATTTCCTGCTCGATTGTTCCATGCGAAGCGCCCAATGAACGCAAATCGTTTATAATTTTCGCTTGTTCATTCATCTCTTTTTCTATTAATTGTGACCTCTTCCTTGCATCAAGTGTAGGATCGAAGATAAATGCTGGGAGACTATCCGTCCAATTTTTTGATTTTTTCATTAATATGCTTTCCTATAAGAGTACATACAAATTTGATAAAAAATATCGCTCTAATTTGACATTGAAATAATAAAATTTAACAAACGATCTTGCAAACCATCTTGAATAATGTATTAATTATATATTCGCTTTACTCTCTCTATCAAGATCTAATTGAAATTTTTTATATACAAGTTTCATATATATATATATATATGTTATATAAGAGACATGCCTTTTATCATTACTTACATTACTTACTTAAACATAATACCGCGTGTATAAATGGCAAAAAATAAAAATAATTAAACCATACTTTTTTCTTAACCTGGCTTGTGCTGTTTTCTGGTTGATCTCCATCGTCGCTGTCATAATCTGGAGGAACGTGAATATCATCTTCCTCTTCAGATCCAGTTAGCATCGTTAATGTATGTCCAAGAGCTGATAGCTGTTGTCCTACATTGACATCAAGATGAATATCAACCCCCTCCATTTGCCATTGAACATTTAAGATCCATTTAGCATTATCTAGAAAAAATTAATTATTTTCAAAAAATATATACGAAAGAAAAATATATGACTATGCTTTAAAAATATATATTATTTTTATTAAATAGCAGATCGTACCAGATTTATCTTGTTTTTGAGCGATAGTCCTACTACACACTTCATAAGTACCTTCTGATACGACACATAAATTCATTATATTACTATCAGTCATATCTGGTTTCCAATCGTCCAAAGAAGTTTCAAAATCTTCTGCAAATCTCAAGCATAATCCTACGAACCTAATAAAAAAAATATACTTTAAAATATAAAATATATAAAAATATCAAGCGTTTGTGAATACAAAAATTATGGACATATATACATACCTTCCTTTACTAACTAAACTACCGCTACTACATGCGGATATGCTTGTATTTTCAAGTGTTACAACAACAGCACCTCGCGATTCTCCATCATAAAGGCCTCTGTTTAATCTCCAATTATTTGGTGGTAAGGGATTAAGCGGCACACATATGCCCATATCATCGACTGTTAATTGCAAAAATAATGTCCCAAGATGAGGTGCACTGAGTTGACTCGTCAGTTGCCCGAATGGAACTTTTTCAAATACTTGTTGAGTAGCAGTTAACACTTCTTTATTCAAATTAGATCGTTTTTCATTCCAGTATTCATATGCGTTTTTATAATTTAACCAAACGAGTATAGCTTTATCGATAGCGATAGGTTGTATATAAATCAGTGGACGTTTAAGAGTAATTAAAACTACTTCCTTGTCTTCTTCCTGAGCCATTTCCTCTTGAAATGCATTTCGTAGTCCTATTCTAGTATTGAAGAAAGCAAACTGTTGAAATTCGGGCTCTGCTTCTTCAAATAATACATTTTTTAATAATTGTCCCAGACTTAAATTAATATCAACTTGTGCTTTGCCAAATAATTTCATATAGGGATTAGGTTGAGTAGCACCAGAAACATTTTGCACTCTGTTAGATAATTGAAATTCTACTGCACCGGTTTCTAACCGCACTGCCGAATTCGTTGGCGTTGTTGCAGTCAATTGAATCCTCTGAAAAAAAAAAATAAAGTTTCTTTTGTGAGAATGAAAATGTTTTCATCAAAAAATTACTACAAATTAATAACGCGAGTTCAAGATGCTAATTTATAAATCTCTAACAAAGCAGAGCAAATATAAGAAAAATTTTGTAAAAGATACCTTAATACGTATAATCAGTGAAAATAAAATTCGTTTCAGAGTAGAGCTGGTTGATTCGTCGTCTTCGAGCCACAAAGGTACTGGTTTTTCACCTCCGTAAACTTTCTGCACTACTTCGTTTACCTCTTTCATAAATACCTTTTGTACAAATACCAAATGATTTAAAAGATCCGTCGTTAAAGAATGCTCAAACACTCCGATATCTGCAGTTGCACTTAGGTAACTACCTTGTCTTAATACAACACCATCTGCAAAACAATCACAATTTTATTTAAAACACAATTGTTAAAACATGAAAATACATGACTTATATATTATTTACCTGCTAATTTACTATCATTCAAGTTACTACTTCCGTCCTGAACGTATTCGGCCAAAACATGCACTTTAGGTAATTCGATACTTGCTTCAGACGGTAAGTTCGCTTCTGTCACTTGCAATTTCGTCGTAAAACTCAGATTATGATGAGGCAAGTCTATAGTAAACTTAGCCTTGCTACCTGTTATGCCAGAACTATTTACTTGATCCATCTTGTATTGAGCTTGGAGAGATGGTAACAATGCCGCAGTTATACTTAGGCTTTGAAGTATTATGTGGAATTGCATAACAATAGGTTCTAAAAGACCAGATACGGCCTGTGGTTTTTCTACACCTATTGAAGGAGCTGGCGCGTAATGATGTGGACTACCCGAAACAGCATCTACATCATCTTGTTGTTGTCCTCGCGACATTCTCGATGATGTTCTAGTAACTCTTAATTCCTAAAACAAGGTAGATTTTCTTTTTACACATATTTCTCTTAAGAATTTAAAGGTATTGTTACAAAATTAATATTTACCTGTAATGTTGACGACAATTGTTTGCTGCCTCTAGTCATCATTCCATGCAATGCTACAGGATGCTGCGGTATATCAATATTTACAGCGCCGACAGTCAATAAACCGCTATTCTTGTCCTTTTGACGTCTCGTAATGCTTGAATATAGAGCTTGTGATTTTCCAACGGTAACTTTTACAACTGTTTGTTGATTAGGGGCAACGCCTTCCAATAAAACAATCATGGTTCTTCCGATTTGTCCAGTCATACTGCATTCTAAACTTGCAGGCCGTGATTTCTTCCGGCAAGTTAGACTAGAATGTAGACTAGTAATTTCTGCTTCAAGCTTTAAGCCACTTAAAGTAGCTAATAATCTGGTTCTATGAATTCGTGCGACGCCAAAAATAATTAGCCTTGTTCTTTCGCCTGTTACAATATCTATAAATAGCATTCGATTTTAATTAAAGCTGACAAGATAAAAATTGAAAAGAAGTACTGAAATATATTCTATACTTACTTAACTCTCTCGATGGAGGAACCGGCGTTGAACTATTTTCAGCATTCAATCCTTTTTCAATATCAACATCCTTGGTTTCATTCAAGATTTCATACTTTCTTCCACTTTTATAATGTTCCGCTGCGTCTGCAGATATCGAAAATCGATGGGTAATAGTTTTAGTTTCCGGACGAGTTGCATACAAATCCAAAAGGTAGTATATAGTTTTCCAGCATCGTGGCGTTAGATGTGCGCTATCTTTACATGTATCCGTAAATTTATCCAAACCAGATCCACTAGGGCTTGCTCCAAAACTGGGCGTAATAACACCTTCACTTAAATTAATATAGCCCTTTACACTTTTGCCAGTGCTTCGTAATTTTTGTGCAAAACTTTGCGGCCGAGAGCGCACAGTTGCACCTGGTAATGCTTTCGATTGATTCGGTTCGAAACTGCTGCGAAGCAACGGTGCTTCGATCTTTTTGCTGCCAGTGAGGAACTGTTCTTGTAGATCAGATGCTAAAAAAAATAGCATTCTATTAGTTGCAAAATATAAATTATACAGATCATTTATAATTAAAATATTGTATATTTACTTGATGATGAGCCGTTTTTTGCAACATTATCATTAACAATTATGTTAGTATTACGTTTTCCTTCAGGCTGTTGCTCCTTTAACTCCATTTGTGTCTCTTTAACATTCTGATACATGTTACTTATTTGATGTAATAATCTAAGAAGAGGCATGTTTACTTGCTGACTTATGTAACGGATATTTAAACTGATGTTAACCACTGTGCTAGTATGTTTCTTCAATTGACCTCTAGATATATATAGGACATTTTGTTTTTGTATCATATCATCTACTGTCATATCGGCCATCTTTTTAATATCGATATCTACGCCAATCCTTTCGCATAAAAATGCTGGTGTCTCCGGTGGTATATCAAGATGAAATTTCGAGTTAGTTCCTTTTCTTGCCTGACATTTGTTATCTGTAAGATAACATAAAATTATATTATTTATAAATAATACATTGTACGCAGAGTTTTAATAATTTCCAAGCTTACTTTTTTTCTTATCTGTTACTTTTCCAAATTCGCTCACGACTATATCAATACGCATAGTATCCATACTGCCTACAAGAGACAAATTTGAGCCTAATGAATCTAAGGAGGACATATTATTTACATTTCCTGATCCGATAACTGATAACATCTGTTGTGGCATAACCGATAAGGACGACAAAAGCGGTTCAAAAATCAGATGTGCATCCAATAATCTTAGAGAGTCTTTCATTGGATACAGGAAAGCACCACTTTGTATATCGGAATCTTCAGTGTCGTCAGTAGTCATAGTATTAATTTTTGAATCCTAAAAAGAGAATATTTTTACTTGATCTTACATTGGAACGACATATCTGTGTTACAGAGTGATAAAAATGGCGCCTTTTTAAATGTACCTTTGTAGATTTTTGCTCTGTACGAAAGACCTACGTAAATAAGAATGAAAATAAAGGTAAGCAAGTTTTTAGCATATAATAAATTTTTACATTCCCACGAATTTCTGATATTTTAATATTGAAATACTATACATATTTTATGAGATATGATGACAATGACTAGACTTACCCAATTTCCTTTTAAATTTCCTTTATCATTATCCTTTATAAATTCTTGCTGTTTTGCCATCCAGCTATACAGATCTTCCCCTGTATTTATAGGTTTAGTAGAATGACTTGTAGGAGATGTAACTTGGTCTAAACTTCCAGTGCTATGTTGACTACCATGACCCAAACCTCCAGAATAAATACTAGGATTAGAACCAAGTTGATGTGAATGTGAAATATGAATTTGTGGAGTTTTTTCTTCTTTCAATGTTCCGTAACCTGGCATAAAAATAATTCATAAATTCAATAAGTACAACTTAACGTATGGATAATTATTAATAATAACAATAATTAAGATTAATTATAAGTAGAATAAATAAAAATGCAGTATTAATAAATGTTCTTAAGACGCGTTCAAAGAGACAAAGAATACTCTAGAGGTACTCTGGATTAATAAAAGAAAAAGGAGTACAATAAAAATACGTACAAAATTAAACGATGATAATTATATGCAAAAGATGAGATCATGCAGGACAGTTTAATTGTTATTATTATTCCAACTGCTCAAAAATAAAAAAAGTTGCTAATTACTAGCTACTAAGAAAATTAAATAATTCATTCACTGTCCACTTACTTATGTTATTTGGTTCTCGTGTTTGACTGAATAACCCACCGCTGGTGAGTAAGGGGAAAACGATACTTGCACGTGTACTAGCAGGTACTTGCGTTGGTTGTAACGTTTTTCCTCTCTTTGGAAGAGCTACGGGTGGAGAGGGAGAGGAAAATGAATCCGGGCCTGGAACCGGTGTTGCTATAGGAGTCGTATCTTTCCCGCGAGGAGAGCTTACAGGAACCGTCAAACCATCACCACACATACCTAGTCATTTCCACATGAAGCCAAAGCATATAAGGTTACATTATTCGTTAATTACGGGGCTAACAAGCTAATCAATTACTAAAGAATACAGTTTTTCAATTACTAAAGAGTACAGTAAAAGAAAAGGCGCTTAGACGAACATATATAAGCATTTATATACATGGGGTTAGTAAAAGCATTAAAAACAAAACGATTTCTGATGGAATCATGACGAATACATATTCTGCGATTAATATATATCTCATTTAAAAAAAAATATATATATATACTGTTTTTTTATTACAGTTTATAAAGCATGTCATAATAAATAGTACAGGTATGTACAAATAATTAAAATTGTTCCAATTCTTACAAACATTACTTGAATAACTCAATTATCACAAAAATTTTTTCTCAAATGCTCAGCAAAAATTTATAATGCTATGTCTACTGTGTAATACCTGATGTTTTATCTTGTCCGCCTTTGATATGTGTATGTTTATGCATATGGTCCGTATGGATGAGCATAGCACATTCATCTGTTACTTCCTGATCATCAACATCTCCTGCACTACCCTCCCCATCAGTCAACAGATTCTCCTACATCAGTAAATCAAGACTCAAAATAACTTTTTAAATATTATCTAATAAGTTTTGTTTTTCTCGATTAAGACAAAATAATTTTGTATAAAATTGATATTTGGTTGATATTAACATGTATAGTTATTGTATCAAACTTTCTTTTTTACACTTTTTTGTAGTATTATAATATTCTAAATGGTCTTGAAAGCGTTTCTAAGCTGATTTTATAAAATAGCACAATATAATATGGTTAAAGAATTTGCGATATATAGAAATAATTATAAGAACGGTTTTCAGCTATTCCGTATATAACTATTTATTAAATAATCACATGTATCTTGCAAGCATTGCTACACCTGCACCTATGATGTAAATGTATAATATATATATATCGAGAGACAAAACAAAATTGCTTGAACATATATTACAGTTTGTTAAAAGCATATTTATGTAACACATTTCTTAGCTATTATTTAATAACAATTTTGCAAGAAAAATTTTAAAGCGTTTAGTCAAAAATTTTATTTTTAAGAAATATATAAAACTATCATAATTTGCATAATGCACAAATTTTGTAAAAATATTCTTTATTGAAGGATTCTTACTCCTTTTCACATTGATTTCTTCCTCCACTTCAGTCTTATTTACTTGCTGAAAGAAGAAGTTCCTAACAAATTATGCTCTTTCTATTGATAACTTTTGGGTATCTTAGATATTATGTCAGGATACAAAATATATAAAACTTCTATGTAAACATTATTATTTTAGATTATTAAATTTTAATTTTTAATACTCACATTTATATATTTTTGTATATATTTTTTGTCAAAATATAAAATTCTGCTTTACATCAATATTGAGGTCCAAATTGTGTAACTACTTACATTTACTAATCTATATACAAAGATATCTTACCTCATCAGGATCGGACACGGCAAATGTAACATTTAATGGTTTAACATGTTTAGTTTTGTAATTGTGTTCCAATAATAATGGCGTATAAAGTACGTTCTTCCATTGCCTGCTTAATACAATGACACCCTGTAATATAAAGAAATATTAAGTTTATAATATTAACAAAAATACAAATTCTATATAAGTAATATTTGATAAAAGCATCTCAATTTAACAATTATTACTTGTCGGAGTGTAGACAGGAGTGGTAGATCAGATTCTTTTAAGTTAGCCTCAATATTTATGATTTCAGATAAAAAAACGTAATTTTGCAATATACTACATAATTGACAAGAAGGATCTTCCTGTAATGTTTTCGCTAAAGGTGTTAATCTTCCGTAACGACTCTGTAAAAATAAATATTCGTATTAATGAACACAACAGAAAACATTTTTTTATTGTAATTGCATAAAAAAAATCACATACCTTCAAAGGCATATGTATTCCTTGTACGTCTAATGCTTCAGCCATAAGGCAGGCAACAATTGCGGTAGATCTTCGGTACATTGTTCTGACCATGTAAACAATACGAATTGCGAATTTGTTACTAGGATTCATCCACGCATTTATCGCTGGCGATGCCGTACTGAGTAAATTCCAATCTAATCTTGTATAATCAATTTTTCTCGTTATTGGAGTACGTGGAGGCGCAGCGAAATTAAACCATACTGTTTTTAATTCAATAACGCATGATACAGTATTGCCATTTGCTACTTTAGACGTAAGACTGGTACATGTCGCGCTCATATTCATTTGAGTACCAGCAGATGCGTTTGTCGGCTTTACTTCTGCTTCTGCAGCAGTTGCTGTGGACGCTAAAAGTAGGATAAACTAAGTAAACAGAATATTGATGCAATATCACTTGAATCATAGTTTTTTTTTACCAGCGATATTATTATCTAATTCGTCTTGGCTTTTAACACTGTCTGTGCAAAATACTTCAGCCTCATTTTTTTTGTCATTATCACCGTTTTCTCCTTTTTCAAATTGAGATCTCTTTACTATTTTTAATTTAATTCCCTCAAAACCACATTCAAACATAATAAATCCTAATCTATCTTCTCCACATCCCATTGTAAATTCTTCAGTAGCTTGCGGTGGTCCGGTCTGTTTCTAAAATGTATAAAAATTGTCATGTATGTATTATTATTAAAATATCAAAAAAGAAATTACATACATTCGGCTTTTCTTTTTCATCCATCATGTAATGTAAATAATAATCAATACACTTTAATGGGGACGTCATTCTTGTGCAGGTAAATAATACTTTCGAATAATGTGCAGGTATAGCGGTTATCACTGCATCCTTTAATATCGAAGATTCGTTCCTCAGTCTTCTTAATTGAGAATGTGCTTTGCCTATTAAAAACCAAAATTTTACATTACGTATATAGAACACGTGTGTGCGTATACACATTCATTTGTTTACTTATATACCGATATTTAAAGTGACTATAATTTCTTCTTGCTGCTTCTCCGACGTTTCTATGTATACTGTTTCTCCTCCCACGTCAGCTACTACTGCAGTAGTTTGATGTCCAGATAAAAATGCTTTACTGATTTTGTTTACCTTCTTCTGATTCGGTAATGCAGCCGGTTTGTGAAAAGTTTGAACAACTTCTCGAGCTTGTTTTCCTAGATAGAATCTCGCAGTAACATCATCGAGACAAATCGCAAATAACGATACACATGTCAAGTCCCGAATATTTTCTAACGCAGAGAACGAGATAATTTCTTCAATGACAGATGCTTGCAATAATGTTAGATTCAACTAAAAAAAAAAAAGATTTTAAATATAATTTAAAAATATGTGTAAATGAGAAAATTATTTTTTATCATACAAAATTATTATTACCTTTGGTAAAATAATACTGCCTTGTATTTGTGTCGTAATACTTTCTTCGTAAACATTTGTCTGTAGTGCAATTTTACCTAAAAATAAAATAAATTATAAATACAAACTAATTTAATTCATACAGAAAAATATATCGTAAAAACTAACATTTATCATCACCTTGACCATTTTTAAGATTCCTTTCTGCTGTAGACCGTTTTGAACTAGTTTGGACTTGACTCCAATATGATAAACTCTGATCCTGTTTTAAAATATTTGCATCCTCTACTTTGCTTATACATTCGTTGTGAAGATGATTTAAGATTGTCAATGGATGTAAACTGGCCAAAGTTGGTATAATACTATCGATAAATCGTTGAAGTGATTCCAGAACCATAGGACTTAGCATAATATCAACATCTCCTTTGAATTTGACAATAACCGTTGTGCGTAATCCAGTTTCATGCAATATTGCTAATAATTCTTCCTCGTTATGCATCGCATGATCTTCGCCTATTGCATGTAAACAAAATCTTAGATATCCTTAAAATCAAATATACAACTAATAATACTGTACCTTCTGTTTGATTTAGAGACGTATCGTCCCACAAGTAAGGATGTGTAGGCGTTTTATTGGATGAACTTGCAACGGGTGAACAGTCGGAACGTGTTACCATTTTTAACGATGTAAAACCTTCCGTGACAGTTTCAAGTTTTGGTATATATCGTCCACCAACGTAAACTAATCTACCATCTTCTGCACGTTGAAATATAGGAGTAGTAAATGCATCACCACCCAAAGGTAATGACGATTGATTCCAATTTGAACAGCGAACCTAACATTTTTTATTATATGTGTAGTATGCATACTGTATTATAGTAATATAATACTGTATATTAAATTAGATAGTAATTGGCTAACACATATGCACATATTAAGAAAAATATTAATACACAATTGAATTTACACTAACATATATTAAAACTACCTGTGTTAAATGGCTGACATAACTCGACATCAATAACGGCGAATCTACAATTGGTTTATTCACTTGCATATGCAAATTTACAAGCGTGACATCTTCTTGTGAGGATACAGCAGAGATAAAACTGGTAGATGATACTGAATGGCTATCTGATGAATCTTGCAAACCACAGTTTTCAGTTTGATCAACTTCATTTTGAAAACTAGTGTTCCTATTGATCCTGGGACTTTTCTTTGTATTTAATATTTGTGTCTTTGCTCTCTCTAACGTATGCGCTTTATCCGTCACTGAGATATTTACATTAGCCGAGCTCTCAACAATAGATAAGTCCGACGAAAATTTTTTCTTTATACTATCATTGCGGTTTAAAACACAGCCAGAACCGACGATGGATTGACGTAAACTGGACGTTCGACTTCCACTTAATCCATGACTCATATCTTCATCAGCCGAATAAAATGCTTCCGAGTGATTTTCAGACGACATGGATACTGTACGTTGTACCTATAAACGTATAAATAATTATGTAATAAATATAGTAACTAAAATTTTTCGCTTAATAAGATATATTATTTATACCTCCTGCTTTAATCGTTCTTCTGAATTTGTCCTCGCATATAACGAATGATGAGAATCCGATACATTTATTCCTTCGCTGCCTTTTGTAGTCGATCTTATAGACGTAGAGAGATTAAATTCAGTTGGGACTGTAGGTAAAGACTGCGGGCTATTTGATTCAAGTGTTTCTACATTCTCTGTTGCAGTAAAATAATCTACGGCTAATTTGGAATCAGATACACTACTTTTGGGTGCAGTTTCAATTTCTGGTACACTTAAGATGGATTTACTACGTTCTGCATTTAGTTTAGAATCAGAATCTAATTTCTGGGGTAACTGTGCTACAGGACTAGCGTCAATCAAACGAGAATATGGTACATCTTTCGTATTCGGCCCACTGCAACATAAAAACATTGTATATAAACTTATATATATATATGTGTGTGTGTGTGTGTGTGTGTATCTAAGGATTTTATAATTTTCGTAAAACACTTTTTATATCTTTAGACAATTTTTACGTACTATTTTTTATTTCAATCATTTACGCAGCAACTAATAAATACTAATACTATTTTAATTTCTTTAGCAATACGGATATAAATTACGAAATATGAAATGTAATTTCTAAATTAAATCATGCAATATCAATAAACGAAAAATAATTATTTATCTAAAAATATTTAAATAATTAAAAAAACCGCTGCCAAAGATTACCGTATCGATGTATAAGAAAATCTTCTGTCCAACGATTTCCTGTCTCCACTAGATATCAATGGACTTGCAGACGCAACGTTTAACTTTGTACTATTATTTTCTTCTTTATTATGATCGGTCACAGACCTTGGACGTTCAATACTTTTCTTCAGAGTTTGTGGACCATCTTGACTGAGTGTTACTTTCAATCCTGTCATAGGATAGCACGCATCTTGCAAAGATATATCTTGTAAGCTATATGGTGGTGTGTGGAATACCAATTGTCCATCATGCAAAATAGATTGTCCAAATCCTTTTTCTTTACCAGGTTCATGAATTCTACGAATAAAAGGAATTTATATCATAAGAAGATATTATCAAGATAAAACTCTTGAATCAAACATATTTTCAATATGTGAAGGTAAATATCTACCTATACGCAGCTATGTTAATACCATCTTGAAGATCATGATAGCTTGGTTTAAAAAATCTTGGTCCGTTCCGGTTATTGCCAAAAAATACACAACCTCCGATACAACCACATTTCGTTGCCTTTACTCCACTTTCCTGTGGCCATAAAAACCACAAACGTTTTATTACATCATCGTGCATTTTTAAATATTTATTTTGTACTAAATGCAAATTGTGTTCTGGAGTTGGAAGAGAAATCGCGGCTTCTAAAACAACTGGACCCAAAGATATTGATCCTACTTCAAGCCATATGTCTGACCCATCACCTATTACATATGTAAAAAATATATTAAAAATTTTTTTCATTACAAATTTAAATATATACATTTAAAGAATTTAATAGTAAAAATAGTAAAAAAAAAAAATACCTGACATTCGACTGCTTGCGTTATTATGAGATCTACCACTACCAGTTGTATTAGTATTACTTGTATTTGCAAAATAATCTGCTGCGGATACAAACTGGCGAATAGATATTGTAGGTAAAACAGCGGTAACACCCGATTTTACTTGATGTCCATGAAGATTACAACTAGCAACACGAATTGGAGATATCCAAAATTGTATGGCAGTACCTACTTCTTGTAAGTATAAATCAACAGCATCTATGGATAGTCTCGTCATTCTATATTTTATATCTTCGGAACTTGGACACCTGAAATATTCATTTGATAATGATAATAATAATAGTAACAGAGTTCATCAATCACTCTTATCCTATTATTTTTTATAAAAGACAGATTATTTTTGTAAAAGACAAAAGATAATACCTATAATGTTTATCAACATCGCTCTCTGGACATTGCAGTGGCGCAAGGCCATGGTGGCAATGAAAAGGTAAATTGGGTGGGCGTAAACTGTTCTCTGTATTTTTTGCCATTAACAAAAAAGTCTCTAATGATGTAACAAAATGATGTAATTGGGGAGAAGTGATCTTTCCACTTAATTTGCCTAATTGCACTTCGATCAACCAAGCATACTCCAATGTTTCTTGATCTAAACTTCTTCCTTCATTGCTGAACATAGCATGACCTCTAATTTGCAATGCACTCAACATTAAATGCCCCTGATTTAGATGATGTTCTTTATTTGATCTTGTTACGTTATCTGTGACTAAAGCAATGGCAGGAGAAAGCAATAACTGAAGTTGTGTTTCCTTATAACCCTTTCTCATTTCAAATCCAAAACGTTCTAAAAGTATAACTGGGCATGGTGGATCATTTTCATTACAATTTTTTATTAAATGAGCTTGAATGTCATGCATAGTAACACCAACAGTCACTTCTAACGGTCTATAATCTCTCGGATCAAACGGTTTAGATTTAATCTCTTCATCTTCCATAGATACCTCAATACTACTATTTTGTATATCTTTATCCTTATTTCTTTCTGCATTTACAGATGTTGAAGAGTTTCTACTTTGTTGCATATCAGTAAACATTTGATAATCTCCAAATAAATTTTCCTTCAAGTGCATAAAATTCTTTAATAAAGATCCATATAAAATCAATATGGATGGTCCAATTTCAAGTTCTACACTAACTTTATCAGGCGCTATGGATTGTGGATCAAACTTTTGCGCACCACTTCTTGCCCATTGCAAGCCTGGCGATTTCCTACATTTAGGAATTCGCATAGGAGACAAGAGAATTTCTTCCTTTTCTGGAGTTGTTATATTAGCTTGTGGAGTAGGACCTAAAGGTGGGCATAGGTGATAAGTATAATTAATACTCAATGCCACGATCGGTACAGACCAGCAATCGACCCAGCCTGACTCCTTTTGACAAAAGTTTCTCCATTTCTTGCCTCTATTCAATTCATGTAAGTGCTTATGAGATCCATCACGCGTCATAATCTTTGCATTCTTATCTAATGCCAATAAAATAATACGATTAGTATTAACTTCTGGCAAGTAGAATAAAAGATCAACGCTTTCTCCTTGAATCCAGAAACGCAAAGGTATCGTAACAGGTAGAAAATCTATAAATGGAAGATCAAATGAGAGATCAAAAAGCTCCCCGCAAAAAGCGATGTGCGCATTCTCCTGATTCTGAGACGAGCAATCGATCCAATTATATTCATTGCAAAGCGTAATCAGTTCAAATTCTTTTAAAAGTAAACTAAATTTCCAAGTATATGGAACAAAGTGTAAAATATCAGGTCTTGCTTTACTCGCCCAATCATTGATCATATCTTGAAAAAAGTCTTTATGTGAATAAACTAAATTAGCAGTTGCTTTACATCCAGTTAAATTCAGCGTCCATTCTTGATGATCGTTCCATTTAAGGGGATAATGACATTTTACTCCAAATTCTAAGGTCTCACTTTCAACAAGACTTCGATACTGTAGACTAGTTGTAGCTTCCAAATGCAAAAGCTGACCCGTTATCTTTGTAGTATAACCATCTTGTAATACTATCCATGGCATTGTAATTTCTAAATATGATCCTGGTCCAACATTAACGTGAACAGCATTTGTTTCTCTATTTTTACTAAAAAGTATATCAATCGTTGCTTCATTTAATGTTGATAATCTAATGTCGAACGATTGAACTTGTCTTTTATCTCCTGGTTTAGGCAATTTTGTAATTTTCATTGGTTGATAATCATTGGGAAAAAAGAATTTAAATAAATGCTCTCGTTGTCTATCGGCCCAAGGGCCATAACTAAAATCTGTACCTTTTCCGCACTTGATATCGATGCCCCATATGGGAGGCATTGCTTCAACCATGTCTCCATTCACCAATTGTATCATTTCAGGATGTTCCGGTACGACGCCAGGTTCATCCATGTAATAATAAACCTCCATATTATTTGAACTTAAAACAACAAAACCTTCTCCCATGTATCTAGGTGGATCATCAACCATTCCAGTATATTTCGGGCTAGGGGCCAAAATAACTTTAAAATTTTCAGCTTTGCACTTGGTAAAGTGCATAAAATGATCATGTCTGGATGCTGCTGGTTTTGTAGAATATACAAAATGTGCTTCTTCCACTGTTATTGATAATGTAGTTGGCACTAATCGATTACCAAATACTAGTCTTCCCTAGAAAAGAAGAAGGAACATATTGCGGCAATGTTTTACAAGTCGTGTGTTTGTGACCAAGTATAAATAGCAAAGTTAAAGCAGAGTAGAATAATTTGATATTACTGACTGTGCAAATATCTAGTTTAATAACTGGTATCAAGTCTCTCCAAGTACGTGCAATCACATGAGCTTCCTTCTTTCTAATATTATCCACATGACGAGATACATCCATTGCGTTAATTTGTGAATGACGAGTTTCATTAGCTGCATTATTTATAGATTCTCCGTCTAGATCGTCACTGTTTATATTATGACATTCTTCATCAGCAAACATTTGTGGTGTAAGACCAAAAGATTTTTCTAATTGTGCATAAAGTTGACAGCGATTGTAAACATGTAATTCAAAGCCATTTAACATAACTGATAATCGTGTGTCAGAATGCGAGAGATCTATAATGTACAAAATTTTATAAGATATATATATATATATATTATTATTTTACAATTTGGTTGGAAAATTTATATAATTATAACATCTAGTATTAAAAAAATATTTGCCTTCTGATACATCTTTAGGGACATAGCTTCTCCACCATCTAAAAATGAGCCAACCATCCTGAATTCTAAAACTATAATCTGTTGTGATATAAACTATGTCCCTAAACATTATCTTCCCACTTAAAGCACTTAGTATGACAGATCCTGTGAATAAAGTAAATGTATAATGAATATCTTGAAATAGTTTGTCAATTCTCTGTTAAATATGCTATTTGTTCTTACCAACTTTAACATATCCGTCTCTAATAACAAATCGATTTAACAACTTTGTCAATATATAACCAGCTACTCTACTATTATAATAAGCGATATAAACAATCCAGGATATGGCAGATACTAGCGAACATAGCAACCATATAAAGTTGCTATCCATTTTAAGATCATCCAAGATGACATGATCGGAATAATTCCAAAATGCCGATTCAATCCCAAAGAAAGATGAGACTGTAGCATTGTATAGTTCGTTCTCCTCCATGATAATGCTATTTTTTCAACTACTGAATTAAAAACTATTGTTCATAGTATATTATATACTGAAATAATAAAGAGTCTATTTAATATATTTATTAATAAATAGAAAATACATGAATAAATATAAAATGTTTATATATATAATATATTGCATAATAAATACAATTATTTAATCATTTACAAATTATGGAAAAAAATTAAAATTTATTATATTATTTAGTACAAATCTATCTTTATATTATGAGAATTTATATTATTAAATTTATCTTAACAAATCTATCTTTATATTATGAGAATTTATATTATTAAATTTATCTTAACATAACCAATGCGTTTCAATATAGTTGTAAAAAGATTTTTATCACAATTCAGTCAAGTATAATACTTGTTTTACAGTGATTTGCCTCTTATTTTTCAAAACGTGCAATTAACTCAACTGAACATGTCAAAAAAAATTTCATTGAAACTTTGATATAACGAAAAACAAAATGTCTAAATCTAACAGATATATGTTGAATTGTTTACGCATTCACTGTGTACGACAAAAATTTTAATATTTCTCTTCCAAAAATAATTCATCACAATGATCTCGTCTCTGCGGGAAAAGCGATTACCTGTTCAGCGCAAAACGACATTTTCTTTCGACGATTTACCTTTATTAGCTAGTCGGGTATAAAGCACATTGACATTTTGATGTGCTATTCATATTTTTACGCTTGTCATTATAATAATCCTATTATCATTGTAATAATCTTGAGAGAAATGTCGGAGAGAGAGCTGTCATCAATGAACAATGACACGCATAACCACTCCATATTTGACGTATATGCTCGACCAATACATTATTAAGGTAAGTTTACACTAATTTGTACGATGGTAGTCAAATAGCGTTTTCGGCCCGATCGGGTTTGCACC